ACTTACAGATTCCCTTGGATTCTAGATGGTATCAAACACACAAAAAAAAATTAATCATTCATTATTACAGAGACTGCCAGGCGTAATGAAAGTCTGTGACACTTGCAATTCAAGTAGTAAACATTCATAGTTAAAATGTCACTTATCCACCGTGAACATTAGTGTATATCTTGAAAAGCACTGAACATCAGCAGATAACATAGCAAGATAACTGATCAAATGTCTGCATTTTTTTATTATTATCATTTTTAAATGAGGTCAGAGGTCACACAACACCAGGTTTAGTCCAAAATGTTTATTTGAAGGCTTGTGATTTCAGAGCACTGCTCCTTCATCAGATGAAGGGACTTCTGATTTTGCCCACCCCAGTTCAACACTAGCACCTCCACATCATTTTTAAATGAGACAGAGGGAATTTTCTAATGACACAATTACAATGCACTTATGAAATTTGGAAAAAACCATTTCACTCAAAGCTGATCCTTGAAACATTAACTCCGTTTTCCTCTCTCAATAGATGCTGCCAGACCTGCTGAATTTCTCCAGCATTCTCTGTGCTTTTTCCTCGATTTCAAGCTTCAGGTTGGTTAGAGCTGTTGGTTATAATTCCATTTCCACTCAGTTAAACTTGGGAGAAGCTGAGCTTTTGAGTTTAAAGTTTTCTTCTTTACAATTGTCCCTCCTGAAGCATTCACCCACATCACAAGTGGCTTACGGTACTTCACTCAAGTGACCATCATTCATGTCTCAACCTCAGCAGTTTTTGATGACTGTTGAGGGGATCAGAATTGAAGTCAATCCTGGCATCTCCTGGTTTCTATAGGTATCATGCTTGTAGCTTTGGGTCACTGCTTAGTTTTCAACTAACCAAAACCATTCTACTGTATCCAATCCAGGAACTATACAATCATCTGTAGCAATAAATCCACAGGCAGAGGTACTGAGATCAAGCTCAAGAGTTTTACCATGGTTTTTTGATTCAGACATTGAGAATTCAATGAAGCAGCTAAATCTCCTAGTTTTATTGCAAAAAATCCATCTGTCAACATAAGCATTGACAGCTCAGGATGGTGTGCAGAAGAAGCTAACCATCTGCTTGATCGCTTGACTTAAAGAAGGATGATGAATATAAGTTACCCAGCATTACCAAAAAAAACATACACATGTATCTACAAAATGTGAGTGGATAGCAAAACCTTTCACATTTGCAACAGTCTCGCACACTCACTCCTGACCCTTACCATCTCTGGTTCACTTGATGGTTCTGCTGGAATAAAAACCAAAATCCTGCTTTGTCATATGTAAAAGATAAGCAATTTGCATTTCACAGCTGAATCAGCAGCAGACACAAAAACACATTCAATTACTAATTACTATTATAATGCTACAACCATGTGGAAGCTAGCTTTTTTTTTAAAACTGCATTTAATTCAAAAAACAGTTGAGCCTTTTAGGAATTACTAACACGTTTTGAAATGTTCTGATCTTGCATCAGAGATAATTAAGCCAATACACTTTTGTAAGCCACAAGTTATTTACCACTAAAAAAACAAAACAAGCAGGAATATTAACAAGTAGAGACAAACTGGGGTCAATTTCATATCAGCTAGAATTCATCCCACTTTTGATTAATATGAATGAATTGTCATAATTTTCACACTCAAATGCTTCAACACAACTAATGTCTAGGCCAAGACCTTTACTAATGGTGTTTCTATTATTTTGAACAGAATTCGAAAGGAGTGTACTGTAATGCAAACAACATACTTTTTAAAAAGTGGGTGTGGTACAGAAACAAATAGAAGGAATAGAAAAGACAATAATTTAACTTCAAGAAAATTAATATTGCTTACACAAACAAATACATTTTATTACACTACATGTGAGACACAAAGAAAAAGGAAGTTTTTCTCCAGTTTGGGAAGAGTGGCCTCAGTGAAACAATAAAGTCTTTTAGCACTGGATTCCACCAATATAAGAAGTTATCGATCAGAATCTCTCGAGCAGCCATAGATCATGTTCGAAATACCTGTGTTCACCTGCTCAATGATAGTAAGAACTGCCGATGCTGTGGAAGGCTCACGATCCAAAACGTCAACTTTCCTGCTCCTCTGATGCTGCCGGACCTGCTGTGTTCCTCCAGCTCCACACTTACCTGTGTTCACCTGCTTTTGTTTTAACAATGTTGGCAGAACTCACTGTTGCACCAGTCCATAACTTCAACACCAGGATGTCTGTCTGTACACATCAACTAATCTGTTGGAGTTTTACTTCCATTATGAATAATTAATTGTGAATTGATTTGACCAACTGTACAAGAATATCTGCTCCAATATCAGCTTCTTGCAGATAATTTAACCACACAATCTAATGCAGGCTCTGCCTTTTGAAATTACCTAAAGCCAATGTAAGGGAGTATATTCTTGAATTATAGTATTCAGTCAGATGGAGAGACGACACTTAAGGACTGCCTATCCAAAGTGGGTCCATGATTAAAAGAATACCCCTACTGAGAACACAGCAGGAACAAAAGATACCATACAAATACAATGCAAAAGAATCAGCAGTATACAATGTTCTGTTAAAAGCTACAACCCAAGAAGGTTCGCATTATTTGACTCCGTCTTGTCAGAACAAGAGTTGCTGGTTAAATATGTGAAGCTGACCAGACTCGACAAAAAAAAAATTTCAGGCTCCAAATATGTATTTTCCCTTGCTGATGTGTTTAAGAAGGCCTGAATACAAATATTATTAATTCAATGGATCAATAAGAATCAAACAGGAGTTTATTTCCTGCAGTACAGCAGAAAATGGAAGGAACATTTGGATACAGTGCCAGAGGGAGTGTATAAAAGATGTGATCAGTTCAGATTTGCACAGCAGCAATAGCAGTTTCTTAGTTGAAATGGGTTGCTATTGCAGCTATAAGATTAATGCAAGTATGGAAACTGTTCTGTTTCCAATTGTGCCAGGATAGTTACTGGCACAGGACTGATGCTGCTTTGCCCATGCTTAGGTTTTCATTTGGGTGGGTTTGTTATTAGCAGATTGCTATAATGGCTCTCCTACCCCTTACTCTCCATGGCAACGAAAACACACACTTTGTGCACTCTGGTGTTAAGCTTTTGCATCTTTTGCTGCAAACAACACATTTCTGAACCGGAGAACGTTATCGGCCAACACAGACTTGGTACCAGAACTATTACAGCTCCATTGTTCAGATAGGTCAAAATCAATTGAAGGCAAAGGGTTCATTCATTGTTACTCAGACTAGGCTGTCAGTATGTTTATTTGCACTGGATAGACCAGCTCATTTTTCAACACCAAAGTTGCTTCAATACATAATGACATAGGCACATTTAAAGTTCTGTTTCTGAGAAAGATTTCTTTCCTCTTGGTCAACAAAGGATAAAGATGTTTTGTAACTATAGCTATAGATTTTCATGAGCTGGAACTTTTCAAAATGTTTGTTTAACCACAGTAATGCAACAAGTGATTGTGGATAACCATCACCAAGCAGTGAAGATATTTTATTTATGTAAAGTTGATGTTTTTTTGGCTGTGTGAAACTTTGTATCCATGTTTCATTCACAATCATTATGACCTTTTTTCTTCTTTCCTACAAGATAGTGGCAATTTTCAATAGGCTATTGCCTCAAAAGGGATTCATTTTCTCCAAGACTCGTCCCATGGAGGGTTGTACACTGGGTTGGGGGGTGGGGGGAAATCATGGAAAGTTAATTGGTGTCAAAGGTAGCCCAGAGTTCATACAGTACGTAGCAAAAGGTCACAGTTTGACCTACTGTCTGTCCTGATCTGAACTGTAGTAAGTGTACGACTGGCTGTAAATCCCAGATTAGAGGAATAGGGAGATCAAGCTAGGCACTCCAATCATTGATTTGATTTGATTTATTATTGTCACATGTACTTGACTACAGTGAAACATTTTGTTTTTTGTGTGCAGTACAGGCAGATCACAGAGCGATGAATACAAAATCGATCGCTGGCCACCAATGTAAGCCACCCCTCCCAACCCTGCCAAACTTTTTGCTGGCCGTACAGAAGATCAGGTTTCACCATGATGATGATGATGATGATGGTGCGAAACCCATACTTTTGCCTGTCAAAACTAACCAGCCTCACAAATGAATAATGT